CATTTTCTTCAACTAGCACCTAAAACCTCAAAAATCACACAACAACCCCATCTTCTGCAACTAGCACCTAAAAGTCGATTCTTCAACTAGAAGCTAAAACTCGAAAAATCATATACCAACCCCCTAAAACAGGTAGCCCCAGTCCGTTAAAACCCGGTAACCCCAGCCCCATCTTCCGCAACCACAATTGTATCTAGCGTTTATTTCCAGCTATCCAAGATTTATTTTTTTGGTTCTGCAACCACAGTTGTAGCTATTGTTCCAAAAAAAATAAACCGATTTGGGTTCTCTGCTAATATCAATCTGTTTATTCTTTTGGCTTTATTTTTGTTTTTTTGTTGCTATTGTTTATTGATAAATTCAAAATAATTGACTTTACTCACCGAATCGTCAAATCAATGTGCTTGAATTGTTTTTTTTTTAAAAAAAAATTAATTTACCTCTTCAATCTCCTCCAATGCCCCAACATAATTTCTCCTCTAATACATCTCATTTAATCATAAAGCCTTCTAGGTTACAAGACAAATTTCTCCAAACTTTTTCTTTTTCTTTTGAATTTACCTATGGAAGTTTTCTGGAGAGAGATGATCGAAAGGCTTTAGCACAAGAAAAGAAAACATAAAAAATATGATGGCTTATCATAATAAAAGTATGTTATTCCAAAGTGTTAACATCTTGAAAGTATGTGATTCCAAGTCAAGATGCAAAGGCATACAAAATGTGTGGCCAATTCTTATGCCTGATGCAATTAAAATTTATAAAGTTTAAGCTACATACTATTAGGGATTGTACGCTCAACCATGTTTCGGGTATAAAGCCAAAAAAAAAGAAGAAATTGTTGGTAATGTATTTCCTATATTTCTTCTGGACATAGCCAAACAGTAATAATGTATTTTCCAAGTTGCATCTCAATACTACCCAAACAGTGACAATGTCTTACGGAGTAATGTATTACGCCAGTAATACATTTCACAGACAATATATTTCTAGGGTGGTTTGGATATTTTTTCTTGGCTTTCGATGAACCATGATTCGATGCCTGGAAATATATTGTCTGGGAAATACATTGCTACTGTTTAGCTATGTCTGGAAGAAGGGTGAGGTTTGTATAAAGTTACCTCTTTATATGGCAGAAGTAAGGAGCACCTATAAAATTTACTTAGAGATATTATTTCCGTGTCGAAAACCTTATGATGGCTTCCAAATCCATTTTTATCTTTAGTTATAAAATTTAAAATTCCAAAAATGGTACAAATCAAGCAGATAAAAAAACACTTAAAAACTTTGAAAATAGACGGTCCAGATAACTTGTTACAAGATGCATTATTTTTTAGACTTGGAATTCTTTTTTTTCTTCTCGTTCATTCATCACAAGGTTGAGATGATCAATTCGGGGTTCTTCTATTCTTGAACACTCTCCACCATAGAATTTTTGAGGTGCACCTACTTCAACAGTATAAGATTGCAACCTTATATAAACTTTTTCCAATGAAGAAATATGGGGAATGCATTAGGAACATTTTACCGGCACTTGCCTATAAATTATCATTTCTTTCTTTTTTGTCACAAAATTCCATTGAAATGCAGAATTAAAGTCATCATCACTCCATTCTAAAACGATTTTCTAATAATAACATTATCATCATTCTAAAAATATTTTCTAATAACAACTTGTATGGTTCTAAAGTCATTATGACATCATTTCCTACTTATTTTGCATGCCTTTGGCAGTTATATGAGATCACATGTCTTCTAACATGATTAGACTTTGGTTTCAACATGATAAGTCATTGGAAAAATATGATTGGAATAACATGATTTTATTGTGATAAACCTTATTTTTATTTATTTTTTGTAAAAGTCTTTCAAATGTCTCTCTATATAATTTCAAATAAATAATAAATTTATGATACCAAATTCAAAATATTTATGGTACAAGTTAAAAAATGGGAACTAGTTTGATTGGTAAACTATAAGGTTTGGTAATTAGAACTTTTACTAATCTCTTATAAGGATTATATTGTGTGAAATTTTTGTGTTGTGTAATTTCTACTAATTATTATTTTTGTTTTTACATACAAGCTGACGAAGATGGCTACAACCCAAATTGGGGATAGAGGGACGTAGAAATGGATGTGTGGGATATAGAAATGGATGTGCGCGCAAACACATGGATGTGCATGCAAACACTTATAAGTGGAGTTTAGAGGGAAAGTAGAAATGGATGTGCACAACAGCCAGGGAGAATGGATGGACCATGAGAGACAATAGTGGGAGGATGGATGGACCCAGGAGGGAAAGTAGAAATGGATGTGCACAACAGAGAAGGAGAATGGATGGAACATGAGAGACAATAGTGGGAGGATGGATGGGCCCAGGAGAGAGAATGGTGGGACATGGAGGATTTATGTGGTAATAGACGAGTGTAGGTTGATAGAGGATTTATGTGGTAATAGACAGGTGTAGTTAGATTACCTGTTCGTTAAGCCCGTAATGGATTTCAAAGCCCATGTAATAATTTTCACTTATTTTGAGGAAATCTTGTGTAATTTATTTCTATTTTCTTGAATTGTACCACAGATGGTAATCTCATATTTAATATAATAAATTTCACTTATGTTGGGGAAATCTTATGTAATTTATTTCTATTTTCTTGAATTGTACCCAAAGATGGTAATCTCATATTTAATATATTTTCCCATAATAGATTTTCAGGTACTCAACGATACCTAAGAAGTCCAAATCAAATCCCAACCCACCATCTTTTAAAAAATAAAGTTCCAATTTTACTGCTCAAATCTTTACAACTAAAACATACACTAATAATCCTAAAAAAGACTAGAAACCCATAAGAACTCCCAACTTAAATTTTATGAGTAATGATCTTGTGAGACCCTCCCACATCTATGTGGATAGGACTCCTAAGGATCACTACTAAATTTGACACATATCTCTAAAAAAGTCAAGTCTCACACCCATGTGATAACTTTTTTAGAGATTTATGCCAAATTTAATGGTGATCATTTATGGTCCTACACACATAGGTGTGGGAGGTTCTCTTAAAATCATTACTCAAATTTTAATTATATATAGGGATAATCTAACTTCACAACCTTTCAAATTACAAAGGTTCAAGATAGAACAAGTTGTGAAGGGTGAACTTATTAATTTTGTAGTATTTTTTTTAAAATGTTACTTTTGTGGGGCAATTTTGTAAATATTACTACAAGACAAAAGGTACTTTTGTCATCTCCATAATAGGTAAAGTTGAAATTTTAACTAAAAAACAAAGGCACTTTACAAATAAAGTTTCAGAACACTAACTTCCAAAATGCCACTGTATTTTTATGAAAATTTCAAATTTGTCATTGCTTAATGGTAAAATTACCTATTTAAATAATTTTTTAATAAAAAAAGTAATGATTGTTTTGATAAATACACCTATCACAACTCTTTCTAACTTGAACCTTTGTATTTTGAGGAGTTGTTAACTCGAGACAAACCCATATATATATGGTGTGGTTTGTATAGAGCCTAGGTCTAAACAATCGAATTAGAGCCTACCTTCAAATAGTGTTGATAAATGTGGTTTCAATATTGGAAATTTTTGTGATAGCCTTAAAATACATTTTCATATTTATTTATAAAGTTGAAAGATTTAAAAATAGTGTAGATCGACATATATATAAAAACTTGAAAATTTTGAAAATTGATGGTAAAAAAAGGCATCACAAAATACACTATTTCCAAAACTTGATATCCATTTTTTTCTCATGACCATGAATCTTGATGTCGAGATGATCAATTTGAAAATATTTCGGCATCCAAACAACCTCTTTTAGTGCAATTTTTGAGGTAGGCTC